GACTAATAAAATAGCCCTCTTAATTCTACATAAAAAGTAAAATAAACTCTTAGAAAAATGAAAAAGTTTTCTTGTTATGCAAAATATAATAAATTCCAATTTACAAAAAATTTTGGCATGCCAATTTCATTTTTTCTTAACTCTTGGTACAAAGGAATTAGGTTCTTAGGCCAGTCTAGAAGTTTGTTTAACCCATAGGGTAATTGAGACACAAAACTAGTCTTACAGAACCACTAAGGAATATGTTATATGTTTTCTTAAGGAAGCATCTAAAGAGTTTTAACATGGATACTGTGGTAGGTATAAAAATATGTCCACAAATTAGTTGATACTCTTTCCTTTAAGAAGTGGAGTCTAATTCCTTTCCCCTTGAGTGTGAGTTAACACTTAATGACTCGCTTCTAAGCAAGAGCACAAAGCAAAAGTGACAGTGATATGTGACTGTGAAGACTAGGTCACATGATTCCATGATAGTGTCTGTATCTATCCCCTCTTTCTTTTTCTTCACTTGCTCTGGAAGAAGCCAGATTCCATGCTGTGAACAGCCCTAAAGCGGTACCCAGAAAATAAGAATTTAAGACACAGATTCAGTGAATCAAGAAATTGGTGGAGGGAATGGGGAAATAAATGAGACTAATTTTCAGTATGAAATTACTTTTCTTTTACTTTTGAGTGACCCATCAGAAATTAACTTATTTCCTTTTCTACAAATATTTATTACCTTTAGTCAAAAGGTTAGGCAAAAATAAATATGTAATGATGGCAGGTCTTAATGAAAATCTTATTTTTACATATAGGCAAAATGAGAGCCAGAATAGTTAAATAAGTTATCTAATTCTCAGAAACCAATCATCAGGATCTAATCCTCTTCTTTAGAAGAACATCAAATTTCTAAGATTTACATATAAATTATACTCACCAAACAATAGTAATGTACAGTGAGATTCCATTTCTCATTAATTTTCTTTTCTCCATATTTATTAGGACAATCATCATTTTTTCGACAGAAAACACAAGCTAACAGTGAAAAAGTAAATTAGATAGGAAAAATATTTTGTAAATTAAAAAAAACACAACAACACCCTATGGAATTAGTGCTTTTTTCAATTGATGTGTTCAATTCTTTCTGTGTAAGCAAGTCACATTATGTTGTTATCAGTAACTTAAAATTTCAACACCTACTTCTAAAACAATAATGTGACTTTATATTTTATTCATTAATCTTTAATGATGAATTCCAGTGTATAGATAAAATGGCAACCAGCAAGGTAACATCACTGAAAACAATGGATTAAGAGTCTTCAAAACTCTATTAAAGCAACGATTAAGCTGCCAAAAACTGTCAGAATCAATTTTTCAGAAACTCTGAAATCTTACAACAATTAGGAGGATCCTATATAATAAAAGCCCAGCGACCATAATGGCAGAACGACTGCTCAACCAGTCACTATGAGGTGCACTGACCACCTCTTAATCCCTTTCTCCGGCCCGCAGGCTATCATCGCACGATGGTGAACAGGGACCTGGGGGTGGGTGGTGGAGGGTGCGGGCGGCACCAGGCCAAGGTCCCCACCCTGCCAGTTGCCCCACACACAGAGGGTGACCCACGGCGGGGGTAGGGCTGGCGAGCGGGAGGGAACGGCCGACCTCTCGATCCTTCCCCCTGGCCTTCAGGCTCCAATCGCCCAATGGTGAACGGGAACTGGAGTGGGTGGCGGCAAGGGGGCGGGGCTGGTTGCCGGCGAAGATGGCCCTGATCACAGGCTAGTCCTAGGGACCGTACCCATGCACAAATTCATGCACCGGGCCTCTAGTGCTTAATAAAAAAACAAGTTGCTATATTTGATGAGAACTTTATGGTATTTTAACTCACCCATCACCTCCCACCTCCCACCTCCCAATCTCCAGCTGGGCAATGGCCTTAAGTACAATGGCCCATGTTCCTGGTGTGGATTGTCCAAGAGGAGGTAATGTGGACTTTGTTCTCAAAGAAATGTTACTGTTTGTTTTGACCTATGTAGAGGCTCCCTGAGGGGATGGGCTCAGATGCTTGCCTTTGTTTTGCCTAGGTCAGAACTTTCTCAGGGCTGGAGTCTGACCATTATCAAAAGCATTTAGACAAATATACTAGCTGCAGCAGCTTGAAACAAAGGATAACTGACAGAACAAGCAGGTGACAGACTAAAAAGCCTAAGAAAGAAGAGGCTGGAAATAGGGGATACATGGGGAAATAATGGCTTTGAAAAGTTCCCACATATAGTGAGGGAATCTAGGACACACACATGCTCAGGGCTGGGTGCATACTCAGGAAAAACCCAGAAACTAAGCTTCCACCTCTGGCTGGTCAGTAAGCTCCTGAAAGCCTCTATAAAAATCAAATTTAATTTTAACTTTAAGGAACTAGAAGAAGAAAAAAAAGAATAAAGTAAACCCAAAACTAGCATAAGGGAAGAAATAATAAACATTAGAGCAGAAAAAAATGAAAGAGAAAGAAAACAATAGAATGAATAAAAGCAACGTTGGTTCTTTGAAAAGGTCAACAGAATTTTAGACTGACTTACAATAAAAGAGAGAAACCTTTAGATTGACCTAGAAAAAAAAGAAAGAAGACTCAAAACTTATGACAAAGATACAAAAATCAAAACAGTGTGGTACTGGCATAAGAGAAATGGAAAGATATATAGACATATAGATATATGGAAAAGAAGATTCCAGAAATAAACCCATATATCTAAGATCAATTAATTTTGAACAAGGATTCTAAGACCATTCCATGGGAAAAGAAAAGTCTCTTCAACAAATGGTGATGGCAGGCCCTTGCCAGGTAGTTCAGTTGGTTAGGGCACTGTCTCAATGCACCAAGGTTTCAGGTTCGATCTTTGCTCAGAGTATATACAAGAAGCAACCAATGAAACAATAAATGCATGGAGCAACAGAATGACATCTCTCTCTCTCTAAACCAATCAACAAAAAAATATTTTAAATGGTGCTGGGACAACTGTATAGTCACATGCAAGATAATATAATCACACCCCTTCCTAACACCATATACAACAATTAAATTAACTCAAAGCAGGTCCAAGACCTAATTGTAGGGTCAAAACTATACAACTCTTAGAAGAAAATATAGGGGTAAGTCTTCATAACCTTGAATTTGGCAATAGTTTCTTAAATATCACAAGATACTAAAAACAAAAGTAATCAAAGAAAAAATAGAGAAATTAAACTTCACTAAAGTTTAAGACATTTGTTCATCAAAGGATAATAACAAGAGAGTAAAAAGATAATGTACAGAGAATTAAGAGAATATATTTGGAAATCATATACCTGTTAAGGGTCTAGTGTCCAGAATGTATAAGAAAGTCTTACAACTCAACAAGAAAAATACAACCCAATTTTAAAATAGGGCAAAAGATCTGAATAGACATTTCTCCAAAGAAGATATATGGTCAGTAAGCATATTAAAAGATGCTTAATATCATTATTCATTAAGGAAATACAATCTAAACCACAATGAGATGCCACTCCACACCCACTAGAATGGTTATAATCAAAACACCCTAGCCGGTTTGGCTCAGTGGCTAGTATCAGCCTTCAGACTGAAAGGTCCCAGGTTCGATTCTGGTTGCAGGCTCAATCCCCATTCCTGGTCAGGGCGCATGCCAGAGGCAACAAGTTGATGTGAGGTGTCTCTTTCACATGATGTTTCCTTCTCTCTGTCTCCCCCCTCCCACTCTCTCTAAAAAAATCAATGGAAAAATATCCTTGGGTGAGGATTAACAACAACAAAAGTAATAACACTTACAGTAACAATTAACAGATAATAACAAATGTTTGGAAGGCTGCGGAGAAACAGGAACCCTCATATACTGCTAATGTAAATGTGAAATGGTATAGCTACTTTGGAAAATAATCTGGCAGTTCTGCAAAAAGTTAAACATAGTTACTGCATGGCACAACAATTCCATTCCTGGGTATACATGCCAAAGAAATAAAAAATAAATATTCAAACAAGTATTTGTATACTCATGTTCATAGCAGCACTGTTCACAATAGCCAAAAAAAAGGGGGGGGGATGTTCACTGATAGGTGGATAAATAAATAAACAAAATATAGTATATCCATACAATGGAATATTATTTAGCTAGAAAAAGGAATGAAGTACTGATACATACAACATGGATGAGTCTTGAAACATTATGCTAAATGAAAGAATCCAAGCACAAAAGGTTACGTACATGATTCCATTTATATAAGATTTCATTATCCAGAATAGGTATATTACAGAGATAGACAAAAAGCAGACTGATGTTTTCCAGAGGAAATGAGAAGTGACTACCTAATGGGTATAGAGTTTCCTTTGACGGTGATGAAAATATTTTGGAGCCAGTGATGGTTGCACAAAATTGTGTATGTACATAATGTCACCAAATCGTACATTTCAAAATAGTTAAAATGGTGAATTTTCTATTATGTGCATTTTACCACAATAATAACAAATTTAGAAAGAAGTTTGAGAAGCTCAGCTCTAAGCAAGAGCAATTTTAAAGTGCTCACTCATGCTATCCTGTGCACTGTTTCTGGCTCCTGAGGAGGTCTAGACAGAAACTGAGGGTCCCAGCAGGGCCATATTGAACTTCCGTGTCTGCATGACTAGCTTAAGCTTTACTGAACTTCATCACTCTCCAAGCCACATCTAGGAAGAGCCTTATACACATAAAGTTTGCTGATGGAGGTATGCAAATAATGCTACACAGCCATGAACTACCACTATAACCAACAACATGGATGAATCTCATGAGCATAACGATGAACAAAAGAAGACTTTGAGTCAGATATTATTCTTGGGAAGGATAATAGGACAGCATGAGAACAGCAACAACAAGGATGACTTCTGGGTGCTATTTCTATTCTACTTTTTGTTCTGGAGGGTGGTTACACAGGATGACCCTAATTATTACCCTGAGGAGTTTGTAATTTATTTGGGGTGCAAAGAGGAGTCAATGAAGATCTGTGAATTGGCAGAGGTATAACCAAAGATGTGTTACTAAAGAAAAAGGAGAAAGACTACAAGAATCTAGAGCAACTGAAATAAAAGAGACTCACAAGTGGCCAAAAAGAAAAGAGGAACTATGTAAATACAAGATGGTGCTGCTGCCAAGCCATTTTATCTATGTGCCTTGATGTAATAGTCTTATCCAAATTTCCAAGTATCTCACTGAAAATGTCTCAAAATGAACAAAATTGTTCTATGTGACACTAGTGGAAATAAGAGTGAGCCAAATCTAGCTATCATCTGTGCCCATGTGATGTCCTGTAATCTTTCATATGTATTACTTTGGATAAAATATGAGCTGGAGTTAATAATTTTGTTAACAGCATACTATATTTCTCAAATGTACATGCAATATAAATTTTTAATATGATACCAGATATTTATCTGCAATAATGGATGGGAAAAAATTGAGGGTTTAATATCCTCAGCAATTCACAGAAGCTCCAAAATCCAACATCTATATTCCCATCACATACATTGAAACCATCATGACAATGCTGTCATTTTCCTTTGTGAGACCACGGCAAGATGGCAGGTTCTAAATAATGCATAAGCTACCAACATTCCTGCTCATATTCCTTTCAAAAAATGGTGAAGTGTCTTTTTTATAGTCCATAAAGAATGGAAATCATATGGTGAATCAGATCATTGCTTTCAGGAGGAGCTACCACACAAACTACAGGTTCTTCAGTTCACCCATGTCAGGAACAGATTGCCAGTGTACAGAGAGCCTCCCAGCTGCATTTTCCCAAGGCTGAAAGAATCCACACCAGCTTAAAATCCTGCCTCTACCTCTTTTTACTCACCAATGAGCATGCCCCTCACCATTTCATTCCTTTCCTACGAAGTCAGGTTAGTATTTTACACAAATCAACAGTGATCTCAGAGAAATGTGCAACTCTTTCCTTTACCTCTGAATACAAATCCCAGTCTAGGTAGACTGAAAACAGAACAGGAAATA